TATTGACTGCTTCTGCCCAAAATGATTTTTCTAGGCCTGCATCCCTCAACATTGCTCTTGTTCTTTCTAACAAGGTTATGTTCATCCGCTCTGCCACTCCATTTTGTTGAGGAGTGTTCGCCACTGTGAACTGTCTTTTGATGTCTTCTTTTCTGCAAAAGTCATCAAATTCTTCACTTGTGTATTCTCCTCCATTATCTGTTCTGAAACACTTGATTTTATTTCCAGAGTCAAGTTCCACCCGCGCTTTGAAGTTTTTGAAAGTTGAAAACACATCGGACTTCTTCTTAATAGGGTACACCCAACTTCTCCTGGAGTAGTCATCAATAAATGAGAAAAAATATTTTGCTCCGCCTAGGGATGTAACTGGTGCTTGCTATACGTCAGAGTGAACCAGTTCTAGAACACTTTTGCCTCTAGAATTTGATGTGTTGAATTTCAACCGGTGCTGCTTACTTGTTATGCAATGCTCACATAAAGTAAGTGATACCTTTGTTAAGCCTGGAAGTAGCTTTTGCTCCATAAGGACTTTCATTCCTTGTTCTGACATGTGCCCAAGTTTCTTATGCCATAGCATTGCAGAATCTGAACTACATGAGGCAACAAAGGCTTCTGCTTCTAGCAATGTCTCTCCCTTCAGCATGTACAAGTTTGCAGCTATCTTTTCACCTTTCAGCACCACAAGCGCTCCACGGAACACCTTCATGATTCCTTTCCGTGTTTCAATCTTGCTAGCATTATTATCCAACAATCCTTAAGATAATAAGTTTTTCTTCAGACCTTTCACGTGCCGCACATCTCGAACAACTTTAATTGTTCCATCATACATCTTCAATTTGATGGTTCCCACGCCAACGATCTCTAAGGCATGATCATTGCAACTATACACAAATCCTCCTGAGACAGGTTCATAATGATGGAACCATTCTCTTCTTGAGGTCATGTGATATGTTGCTCCCGAATCAATGAACCATATATCTGCAAATCGTTTTCTTCCTTCCACGGTGGTTGACGCTTCACAACATAGATCATCTCCATCATCTGAAGTGTTTGCGATATTGCCTTACGGGTTGGAGTTTTTATTTAGACTCCAACAATCCTTCTTCAAGTGACCCTTCTTTCCAAAGTTGTAACACTTTAAATTCTTCTTGCTTCTCGACTTCGATCTACCATGTTTGTGACTGCTGCTTTGGCCATGTTCTGTTGATCTCCATCTCATCGTTGTCATCGTTGTCAACGCTTCTGCTTGTTGCAGATTTACTTGTCTGTCTTCCTTGTTCTTGCGCCGATTTTCTTCTTGTAGAACAGCAGCTGCAACGTCATCAAAGACTAGACTGGTGACATTATTGTTTGTCAAGTTGATGATGAGTTGATCATATGAATCCGGTAGACTTTGAAGTAGAAGTTCAGCACGTTCTTGTTCTCCTATTTTACAGCTTAAGGATGTAAGCTGAGAAAATAAGGTGTTCAGTGTATTTAAGTGCTCCGTCACTGAAGTAGATTCTGACATACGGAGAGTGTACAATTTCCTCTTAAGGAAAATTTTATTGTGCAGCGATGTGGCCTCGTACAATTTGGTAAGATGATCCCATATCTCCTTAGCTGTCTTCTTCTCCTCGATGCTTGACAATACTTCATCTGCTAATACTAGATGAAAGTTTGCCATAGCATTCCCGTCCATCTCGTTCCATTTGATGTCATCTGCGAAATCCATCGGTCTTTCATTGATAGCCGCTAGACACCCGTCTTTCCTTAGGATGACCTTCATCTTCAATTTCCACAATGAGAAATTTCTCCCATTGAATTTTTCAATATCAAATTTCGTTGTCATAGATTCTTTTACGGATAGCTCCCACTATTTCACTATCGTGAATAGTTCTCTAGAACCTTCAAAGAATGGATAATAACTTCTTATTTTCTTATGTTGGAGGATCCACCTTTTGGTGGCAACTACAAAGACAATAAGTAGATATTACACACTCTAATCTAGCTCGGATACCAATTGTTGCGGAATACAGCTATATAGAGCAAAATCGCAACTGATAATTTGAGAAAATAAAAATGAAGATAAAAAGAGACACAAAATTTACGTGGAAAACCCCTAAATTATATAGGGTAAAAACCACGAGCAACGGTAGAAGAATTTCACTATGAGAAAATAGGAATTACAACCTCTCTCGATCTACCAAGGAGAAAACAATGATAATTCTCTCTTGATAAAAAGGAGAAAACAACTCTCAATAAACTCTCTAAATTCTCTCTAGTATTGGAAGAAAGCTAGAATGTTTTGGGATGGTTTTGAAGCTAAATGAGCTAGGGTATTTATAGTTGAAGCTTTAAGGACTAATTTGTAAATACCCTAAATTACAATGACTAATTGCATAGTTTTACCATCCAAAATTTTCAACAATTTAGTGGCCAAATCTGACCAATTTTGTCACCCCATTAATGCCACCAAATTGCCACTCATAATATTGACAATTGATGCAATTTGGTGTGCCAATTTTCAACATTTCTAGGTTACTATTGTTTTTAATATGATGGTACATGTTTCTCATTTCTGTTAGAAATTCGTGCTTTTTTTTTTAACTTTTCTATGTGTTCTATTATATGCATATTTTTGTTTTACGGATCTTCAGAAAGTGAGAATGAAGTAATTCTAATGTTAGAATTATTCCAATGTTTATGTATTTTTGTTTTAATCATTGCTGCTTGATTTGTAAGTGAGCTGCGTTCTTGGATCCCGTTTGGATGTCATTTATCTGGGTTTTATAAGTTAATTTTTGAATTAGTTCTTCAGCTTTCATGGTTTTCTTCATAGGATCATCATCGTTATATATGTGCATATATGGTGTGGTTAAGCAATCTAAGGCTTTCATAGAATTATAGTCCCTTCTAGTTGATTTCGTTACAGGTTTAACTTAGACAACGTTATGAGTAGTTTAGGCCCTTTAGGGTTTTTCAAGTATTATATTAACAGCATTAATTGTACGGACAACAACAATAAAAGACCATAAAAGACAACAATTGGTACTATTTGTAGAACCTTAATGAATTTACATGGTAGCAAAAATTTGAAATGGTAATGGAAGAGTTGAAAATTGCTAAAGATCTTATCTCTAATTAAACTTCGAAAGTAAAAAAATCCTTTAATCTCTCAGTTATTGACACCGACATATCTCGTCAATTTAAAGTTACCAAAAGAGGTGCACGACGGCACCAGAGATCCAATGGATCGTTTGTCTCAATACAACACCTACATGATGATACTAACGCGGCTACGTGCCTTGAGAGGCTCTCGACAGTTTTTACTAGACCATTTGATCGCGGCAAGATTCTTATGCCCAATAAGCCTCAAAAAGCTCCTACGAATTTAATTCGAGATGAGGGGATTTTAATTAGCCACTTATTTGTTTTTATGCTATAATTACCACATATATGACATATTCAGAGGTTAAGGTGTGCGTTATGTTCATACATGAGCATGACTATGCATGTGGGTTTAATTGGTCGGTCCAATCACCAAACAAAGCATGTCATTAGCGTGTGAAGAGCTTCGAAGCTAGGACTTCCATCCCTATGTGATTCGAAGCACTTTATCAAGCTTGGATGTACACCTTGTATTCACTCATGCATGGCTTTAACGTGTGACTTCACAATGGCTTGTTACATTGTAACCTTGAGGTGCTTGCTTGGGTTTGGAGACGTGTTTACTAGAGGTGCCTGCATGTGACATGCTTACTTGTGTTCACATTATAATGAGGATGAATTGACAATTTGTTTGTGTTCACGTTGAATAACAAAAGCAATGGGAGATTTAAGCAACCATTCTTCTTCTACAAGCAAGGCAATGGAGGAGTAGAAGAGATGGATGCAAGCTTGGAGGAATTCTTTCTATAAATCAAAGATTCAATCTCATTCAATTATACATTGTATTTCTCAAGTGACTATTCATTATATTTGTTCATCCTTCAAGTACATTAGAGTCATGAACCAAGCATTGAAAGATCAAAAGCCATTCATTCACCTTAAGTGCATCAAAGTCTAATTCATGTATTTAGTTTATATTTGCTTTATTATCCATCCTTTCATATGCTTTGTGAAAAGTCTATAATTAGGCTACCATATTCCATTTTTATAAACACGTATCATAGTTATATTGAATCATGTGTCTTCCTTATCATTGCCAAAATGAATTTTATCTATTTTCTATTGTATACTTGTGAAGTTAGTCTAGTAGTGTTTTTCATCTTCCGAACTTATCACTTTCATAAGTATGACATTCAAACCATCAAATTATAACTTTGGTTCTTATCTCTTCAATAGACAGCGAATCAAGTTCTATATTCTATCCATTTGTTATATCAAAGGTTCCTAACTTTTTAAAGTTAGTAGATCTCGATCCATTTATTTGTCAAAGATTCCTACACAACATCACCATCCATCACTATTCTTTCAGTTTCTGTACAAATCAATCTAAAATTTTAATTCGAAGATTACTTGACTAGGGTAATCTTAATTTGGTGTCGGAGATGGTCAATTAAGGTACAAATGAAAATTTTTGTATGGAAAACGATCATATACAAGTAAAAATTATCTCATATAATTATAATAGATGGGAAAATCTAGAGGAGCGTGATTGAAAAAATTACAAGGTATACTATGTGCATTTAAGACTGCGTCACAACAGAAAACTTAAAGAACCTTATGTACAAAATATTTCAATCAATTAATTATAATCAATGAAATTAATTTAATTATTTTTTAACCATGGGTTGGTACCCAAGGAACTGGTAAAATTAATTTAATCAGACTTTCAAATAGTATAGATTCGTTATTAAGTTTTTATTTTCTTTAATTCAGTAAAATTTAATATTTTTTAAATATATAATTAAATAGTATTTAAATGATAATTGATAACTGAAAAAAGGAAAATTCATCTAAATCTTATTTCCTCAATTAAACAAGGGGGAAAGTGTATGTTCGTTGGCGTGGGATATAACCAGACAGAATTAGCCGGTCTGACTCCGACCTATCGCCATTAACCTCTAACCAGTTATAATCAGAAAACATTTACTCTTTCGTCGATCCAAAAACTTCTTCCAAATCAACACTGTTAAATCTTCCGTTGAAGCCTCAACCTCAAACTTCAAACCAATTTGGGTCAACACAACCGGTTCACTTGGTTCATATAATCAGATGAACCACCAAACCCAGAAAAAAAAAACCCAGTAAGTTCCTCTAATTCTTGCCAAAATTTACTGCTCTGATTAAAGGGTGTGTGTTTTTAAAAAAGGGTTTGCTTAAATGGAGTTGAATTTGGTGCCTATATCAAATACAAGACAAAAGCATGATCCGGCTTGGAGCCATTGTCAAGTTTTTAAAAATGGCGAAAGATTGCAAATTAAATGTATGTATTGCTGCAAAATGTTTAAAGGGGGAGGAATTCATAGGTTTAAGGAACATTTAGCCGGTCGGAAAGGTCAGGGTCCGATATGTGAACAAGTTCCACAAGAGGTTCGAGCTCTTATGCAGGATAGCTTGAATGGGGTTTTAGGCAAACACGATAACAAGCAAAAAGCAATTCCCAAATTATTCTCCTGCGGTAGTAGTAGTCCACACGTTGCTGAGAAAGAAAATTCTGCCTCCCATGATGATACGAAAGATGGTATCATACCAATTTCGGTTTTAAACACTTTAGAAGCTGATTCTGATTTGGCATTGAATGGGATAAGGGAAGTCAATAAGGGAAGTAGAGGTAGGAAACGGCAAAGGGATCAAAGTTTGGTAGCAAAGAGTGATCCTTGTGCAAAAAACGATATTGAATTGGTTCCGATAAGGGTTGAGAATCCAGTTCATATGGCGATAGGGCGTTTCCTGTATGACATTGGAGTTGACTTGGATTCCGTGTACTCGGTTCATTTTCAACCAATGATTGATGCTATTGTTTCTGGTGGATCTGGGACTGTACCTCCCTCCTATGAAGACCTTCGGGGATGGATATTGAAGAATGTAATTCAGGAAGTGAAGGAGGATATCAATAGAAACAAAGCAATGTGGCATAAGACAGGGTGTTCTATTATAGTTGAGCAGTGGAGCTCGAAAAACAGCAGAATTTTGTTAAGTTTTTTGGTTTACTGTCCTCAAGCAACTGTATTTTTAAAATCTGTGGATGCATCCCATGCATTTTATTCCCCAGATTATTTGTTTGAATTGCTTAAGCAGGTGGTTGAAGAAGTAGGGGCTGAGAATGTTGTGCAAGTAATCACTAATTGTGATGAACAATATTTCTTGACCGGGAAGAGGTTGATGGAGTCATTTCCTTCACTTTATTGGGCTCCTTGCTTAACACATTGTGTGGATATGATGCTTCAGGATTTTGGTAGCCTTCATTGGATAAATGAAACAATTGAACATGCTAAATCTCTGACAAGATTCGTCTACAATCGTAGTGTGGTTCTGAATATGATGAGAAGATTTACTGGTGGTAACGACATTGTGGAACCAGTACTTACTCGTTTTGCTACTAACTTTGCAACTCTGAAAAGAATGGCTGGTCTTAAGCTAAATTTGCAGGCTATGGTTAGCTCACAGGATTGGCTGGAATGCCCTTATGCAAAGAAACCAGGGGGTCTAGCAATGTCGGACATTGTTAGAAATAGGTCATTTTGGAATTCATGCATCTTGATTGCGCGAATAACAAATCCCCTCTTGCGGGTTCTAGAAATAGCTGGTAGCAAGAAGAAAGCCGCAATGGGATACATTTATGCGGGAATTTACAGAGCAAAAGAAACAATTAAGAAAGAACTTGTCAAGAAAAATGATTATATGGTCTACTGGAAAATTATAGATAATAGATGGGAACAACAGCGACATCTTCCTCTTTATGCTGCTGGTTTCTTCCTTAACCCCAAGTTTTTCTACAGCACCGAGGGAAATATGCACAATGGTATCCTATCGTCATTGTTTGATAGCATAGAGAGATTGGTTCCTGATGCAAACACCCAGGACCAAATTGTCAGAGAAATAAATTTATACAGGAATGCTAGTGGAGATCTAGGAAGGCCAGTGGCAGTTAGAGCCTTAGATAATTTACTTCCTGGTAAGGATATCCATCTATAGAGTGGAATTTCAAAATTGCTTGTTCTCGTTTATTGTCATTGCTACTTTTAAGAAAGTTTCAAGAAAATAACCCCCTTCTCATGCCTAACACAAATAGTTACGGTATGAATTTTATAGGTCTATGACATGCTTTATAAGAGTTTGTCTGCCTTTTTCTTAATGCAGTCCGTTATGTATCTAAGTTACAGATTTGGATTGGGATATAATTGCATTTTCTTCATATTCATCCATATTATTAGGTGAATGGTGGTCTATATATGGTGGAGGCTGCCCAAATTTGCAACAGTTGGCCATCCGCATTCTCAGTCAAACTTGCAGTTTAATTGGGTGTAAGCCAAATAAGATTTCCATTGAAGAAATACATGACACAAGAAATTTTCTCAACCGTCAAAGACTTAGTGATCTTGTCTTTGTTCAATACAATTTGTATCTGAGACAAATGTAAGTCTAAAACGCCAAACCATACTTCAATATTTTGGAAGTTTACAGTAACTGGATGGTAAGGAAGTGTTGAGTTTCCATTAATTTCTTTTGCAGGGTTCTTAGAAACCAAGAAAAGCATGCTGTGGATCCTCTCTCATTTAACAACAAATATATTCTTGAAGATTGGATTGCCGATAATGAGGTATACCCTGAAGATTATGAGGGTTCAGATTGGATGTCACTTGATCCCCCAGTTGATAACAGAACAACTTTAGCACTCCCAGGTGATGAAATCGAAGACTTCTTGGGCACAGGTACATACAGTTGGATGTATTTTATTTGCTCATTGGCGAAAATGATAAACTCATAATTGTTACCCATGTGCAGGGTTTATAGATTTAGACATTTTCAATGGATTGAAGGGGGTCAAAGAGGAGATATGAAGATAATGCTATGGTGCACCAAAACGGTTAAATTCTCACCTACTTTAGGTTGCTGATTATTATTTCCACCGTCACGTGAGCTTGTAGTTTAAAATCCTTTATCCCTTGTTGATTCCGTGGTCGTGGCTGATTATGTCTGACTATGTCGTAGGTGTTTAAAATCCTTTATCCATCGTTGATTCCATGGTCAAGGAGGAGATATGAAGATAATGCTTTGGTGCACAGGTACATATTACCTAAGAAATATGTAGAAAGAGAGTTGCTAGAGTTCTCGGAATAACTAGCAATGGGCTTAGAAAATTTTCTCCCTGTAAGGTTGAGAAAACTACTTTAAAGTCTAGTTTTCCGCACTTGCTAATGGACTGAAGGGGCAAAGCTGTACAATCCTGGAAAGAGTTTTTTTATCAAAGAATGCGGTTGTAATTTAAGGTTGCTGGTCTCATGAGAGCCATTTTGTGCAATTTGTTTAATATGATTTTTAGTCATGAGTTCAAATACTGGAAATAAGAATACAGACTAAACCCGGGTTAGAATTTCTTGATTCTTGTTGCAATCACAGCTTGTAATTTGCATTTACCAATTTTTATAGGTTATATGCAGTTTCTGTAAGAATGCCTCATAAGTTTCTTCTCTGAGAAAATGATGGGTTTTGTTAAGGATTAAAAGGCTTACAGGCTAGAGTTGGTAAGCTTCATGATAGCCTTTTTCATAGGTATGAAAGCCGGGGATCTGGAGTTTGGACTAAATAAAAAAACTTGTATCACCTCTGCTGATATCGGAAAGGTTTTACTTGTAGTTCTATGTTACTCAGACGAGTGTTTGATATAGGTACGTCTTTGACACGGATATATTCGATTTGGAGCCCACATACTCATGTCCGAGTGTGTGCTGTATATAGGTTTCGAACGTAGATGCTTTAGGGAAAATAAATAGGTGGAGCAACGTTGTAATATATAGAATTGATAGGAGATATGAACCAGAAATATTTTCGTTCCGATCAAATTTTACTGAATACAAACTTAGATTTTACAATGCATTAACCAACTGTTCTTTGCAAACAGGCAAGGGAAAGAATCAGAACAAGTTGCCCAACCAACCTCAAAACCTCAGCTATAAAGCTTTCTATTCTGCTTTGCATGTGAAACTTAAATGAAAAGGAAAATGCAAAGGGGAAAAATAAACGAAGGAGCAAAACCAAAATCAAGAAACACAAAACTCTTGAACTAATAACGCATTCCCAGAATAACACCGACAACCACCGACACAATGGCTACTCCCAAAACGAACTTTAAGGTTGTCAAAGGAGAAGCCTCGGCATGGGTAGTTGATGAAGAAGAGGCAGATTGCACAGAAGCTGCTTCCAACTTTTTCTTACCCTTACGTTTTGATGGTGTTGAAAATGTTAATCCATCAATGTCTCGGGATTTCATCTCTAAGCCATCCTTAGATTCGGCTGCACTGCTCGCATCCTGAAACACACGTTTTAGGGTAAGCAACTCTCAAAATTTTCAGAAAACGTAGCAAAAATTATTTTGAACAGTGTATCGAGTTGAAAAGCAGTCAGGTTGAGCACTTTATATTTGTTGATTTGTTCTAGTAAGAAAATATATTAGCATCGCAAGATGTAAACAAAATTAACCTAGTAAAGTTGGAGAGGAAATTTGAACTGACCTTCAGTTTAGCTTCAGCTACTTGCAATTTATCTTTCAACTCTTTGACCTGCTTCTTCAGAAGTAACGCTTCTTTCTTTTTGGCTTCAATCTCTTCAATCGAACGCTTTAGAGCCGCTTCCTGTTCCAACTCTTTCTGGGAATCAGCTTCTTTCTGTTTGTTCGACATTTTGACAAAGAATAAGAAATGCCATTCCCAATCCTTCAGAATTGATAATTTCCAGCATAAAAATGATAAGAAATCTAAAATTCTAGATTTAGATTTCATAATAAATTTTGAATTCTTATTTTGGTGTTATCTTTAAGTAGGTGTCAGAATTTGTGTTCGTCAATTCAACATGAAGAAAAAGGAAGACAAAGATGTGTAATATTTAATAAATTTATTGTCTAACCTGTTGAGCAATGGTTGTCTGAGCGAGTTGTAAATCTCTTTGAAGTTGAAGCACTTGTTCATTTATAGCATCTCTATCACTGATTTTTTGTGCATGATCCTCCAATTTTGAAGTTAACTCGGTCTCTCTTACAGAGGCAGCTGTCTTAACACTTTCAACCTACAAGCAAAAGACCAAATACTTAGAACTGATCTTGGCATTTGATTTGGAAAATGTCAACTGTCAGATTCCTTCTTTATTAACACAGAGTATAGTACCTCTTCTTTTAATTGAGTTTCAACGGTCACCAACTGTTCTTCAAGTTCTTTGACACGAATTTGCAATAAGGAATGCTCCGCAATCTCAGCCTTGAGATTTCCAATCTCCAATTTTAGAGATTCTTCATTTTCTTTTTGATCTTTCAATTGCTCTTCAAGCTGTAATATTAAAGATTTAAGTCCCTTCTTTGTATTTTGATGTGTTTCATTGAGCAGGTTATTCTCCTCCATTAGTGAAGAAATCTGTAACACAAGGCAAAATTAAATAAAAATGGAAAATCTTCATATTTTAGTTATTAAGATGCTAATAAATTTTTTAACAAACCTGAGACTGTAAACTTTGCCCTTCAGAGGTAATCTTCTGTGTTAGATCTTCTGTAGCTTTCTTTGAAATATGAAGCTGTTCAGTTGTTTCATCCTTCTCTTTCAATGCTGCTGCCAGTTTGCCTTCCAAATCACCGAGTTTTGCCTCATATTCGGCAAGTTCCTGAGTAAGCTTCAAATTTGCCTCGGCTAGTCCTTCACTCTCCTTTTCAAAGTGAGCTGACTTGGTTTGCAGTTCCTCAACAAAGCTTTCCAGCTGCTTTAATTTTACAAGAGTCTCTTCCACCTCAACTTGTCGAGATACAGCAATTGTGGATGCCTCATGAGCTTGTTCTTCATATGTTCTAATTTGGCCTTCAAGCACGTTCAACTTTTCAACCAGCTCATTGGCTTCCAATTCTTTCATAGAGTATTTTTCAATAGCCTCATGTAACTGTGCCTCTGCTTCTACAATTTGTGATTCAGCTTCAGCTCGGAGTTCTGAGGCCTTTGTATGCTGATCTGATAATTCTCTAATTGTGGACATGTGGGAAGAAATCTCTTGAGCAGTGACTTCCTTCTCAGAAACAGCTGAGTTAAGCAATTCTTGAAGCTCATCAACTCTGCTCTTGAGCTGAATGTTTGTCTGGACTAAAAGCTCATTCTCTGAGGAAGACTGAAGGGCTTTATTTTTTACCTCCAATAAATCTTTTCTGATTTGTTCATTTGTGCCTTCCAAAGAAGCCAGTTTCACTAATCTCTGATCCAATTCTTCTTTTAGAGATACGGACTGTCCAGCTGATTGAGCAACCTGTTCTTCGTACACCTTTATCTGATCCTCAAGCGATTTGAGTTTCTCTAACAGAGATTTCGCTTCTGAATCCTTGTTGGTGAAGTTTTCCATCACTTCTTGGAGCTTAAGCTCTGAATCCCTTGCTAGAGATTCATGTAATGACTCAAGCTCTGAGTTTCTTGCCTTAGCTTGCTCTAGTTGCTCTTCAGTAGACTTGAGCTTTTCCATAACATCACTTTCTCTCAAACCAATAGCCTTGAGATCATTTTCGATGCTTTCCAACTTCTGTTGTGTCATATTTAAATCACTCCGCAAGATTTCCACCAGATTTTCTGCTTCTACAAGCTTTTCACTGGAGCTTTGCGATGTCTCTTCTAACTTTTTCTTCTCATCTGCTGCCAAATTTAAGCACTCTGTCAATTCCTTTTCCTTCTCATTGGCCATCTGCAGTGCAATTTCAAGGCTCGATGTTCTAGCTTGGAATACCTCGAGCTCAGATGCAAGTTCAGATACCTTATCAGAGTATCTAGTGGACTCACTTTCTGCATCTCCACATCTCTTTTCTAATTTGCTGATCTGTTCCTCGAGTTCCTGGATCCTGTAATTCTCTGCTTCAATTAACAACTCCAACTCATTGACCTTCTTGTCGGCACCCTCTAATTTGGAATGAGAGGTCTGGAACAGATCCTCTAGCTCAAGGCTGTGCTGATGACTCATATTAGCTCTGTCCTCATGGTGAGCACTTCTCTCTAAAGCAATCTCCAATTCCTTTGTGAGCTCTGAGTTCTTCTCTGCCGACTGATTTAGAGCTGATTCTAGTTCATTTATCTTCTCCTCATATTCCTGCATTTGATTGTTCAGCTTCTTCTTTTCTTCCTCAACCTCTCCCAACTTTGTCTCTAGTTCAGATATTTTCCCTGAAGATTCCTTTAGTTCTTTCTCAGTTTCAAAGCCTTTTAGCTCTACCAAGTTTAGCTGTTGTTCAAGCTCCACATTCCTCTGCTCGGTTGCTATAAGACGTGCCTCAAGCTCCCTGAGTTTCGATTTTGCATCTTCTGCTGCCTCATTTGAAGCCCGAAGTATATCCTCCAGCTCAAGATTCTTTTGAGTAGCAGTTGCTGCAGCAGCTCCTGATTCACTATGGAGATCTTCGAGAGATCTCAATTTCTGTTCAAGCTCCTCATTATTAGACAGAGCCTGAGACAATAGAGAATCAGTTTTACTGAAATTCTCATTTGAAAGCTTCAGTTTTTCTTCAAGTTTACTGCACAACTCCTTCGACAGTGCTGCATTACTGTTAAGATCTGCAATGGTTGTTTCTAGAGCTTCTTTTTCTTTCAGCACTTTACTTGATTCTTCTTGTACAGTTGAAATGTTTAGTTCCTGTTCCTTCAGCCTAGCTTCAACCAATTCCCTTACTTTGACTTCCTCCTCCAGTTTCAACTTGATATCTTCCAGCTCAGAAACCTTTGCTTGAAGATCTTCTTTAGTTGCAGCAAAACTATTCTCAAGGGTTGAGATATCTTCCTTCACCTTGGATTCTAAAGCCTTTTTCAGGTCCAACTCCTCAGTCAGCTCATTTATAAGAGCTTCCCTTGAACCAAGTTTTTGCTCCAAGTCCAACACTAGTGATTTAGAAAGTGCCAACTCCTCCGTTGCCGCAGAAAGTTCAGCTGTTGTACTTTGAAGTGCTGCTTCGACCTTCTGGCTTTCAGCAACCTTCTCATACAGGCCCTTGACTTCTTCTCTCAGGACGGTCATCTGATCTTCCAATTCTTTTACACTAAGTTTTGAAGTTTCAAGCAATCTCTCAAACTCCAAAGCTCTCTGTGTCTCAGACTCAGCGTGTGAGCCACTTTGTTTGTGAAGTTCTGCAAACTTCCGTGCCTCTTCAACAGAACTCTGCAGATCCTGCTCCAACTCTTGCATCTTCTTTCTTGAGTTTTCGATCTCAATGTTGAGACCATCATATGCTTCCTTTACTTCAGTGAGTTCCTTCTGTTTTTTCTCTTGAGCTTGCAAAGCCTCTTGCAAACTGGTTAGTTGTAAACTATATCTCTGCTCAGCTTCAACGATCTGTTCTTGCAATTTCTTATGACCAAGATCAAGTTCTTCATACTTTTTCCCCACTTCATCCAACTTCTCCTCTGCAAGCAGAAC